AAAAGAGTTTCACAGAGAAGAGTTATTTAGTTGCGCATTTGCGGGTCCACAGCGGTGATCGTCCTCATAAATGTTCCGTCTGCGAAAAGAGTTTCACAACGTGCTATCATTTAGTTAGACATATGCGGATCCACAGCGGTGATAACCTTCATTAATGTTAGGTCTGCGAAAAGAGTTTCACAACGTGCTATCATTTAGTTATACATATGCAGATCCACAGCGGTGAGCGCCCTTAATAATGTTTCGTCTGCTAAGAGTTTCACAAACAGCGGTAGTTAATTTACGCATAGGCGGATTCACAGCAGCGTGTGCCCTCATAAATGTTCTGTATGCCTAAAGAGATTTACACAGAGCATTCTTTATTTGGTCACATACGAATCCATAGCGGTGAACGCCTTTATGAATCCTCTTTCTGCCAGAAGAGATTCGCAAAGAAAAGTAATTTAGTTAAGCACATTCGAATCCACAGCGGTTGACCGCCCTTGTGATTGGGCGGCCTATTTGACAAGGTTCACAAAGAATAGCCTTAATTAACCACACGCGGACCCATATCGTTTAGGGTCTTCATAAATGTTCCGTGTGCCAAAAGATTCCCATACACTATTGCCAACAGAGCCTCACAGAAGATTAATAACATACCTCCATACAACAGGAAACAGTCATGTGGAGGGTTTATCTGGCAAATAATCTTTAAACGGAGTAGATGCGTTGTACACATAATGATACACAGTGTAGAATGTAGGGAAAACATATTTTTTTGAGAAGTCACTTAATTCTGTGTATGTCGATCCATAACAATGAATGTGTGCGCGCTGTGCCAAACGAGATTCGCTCAGAGACAATTTATTTCTTCTCAGGTGAGACCTAAATGCCATAACGACGAAGATTTATACTCACCATTTTTGTATCCCTAGTTATTCTTTTACACAACGTACTAGGAAAATGATAGATCCATTTTTGTTTTTTTTTTGTTGTTTTTTTATTTTGGAACGCAAAAAGTCATTGGAAACGGGTGCTACCCGTTTTCTCGAATTTAAAAGAAATTCTATAGACGTGGGACACATTTACACGGTTTTACTGAGAAGGTAATGTAATTATGGTTTAATACGAAGTAAAGTTTTTTGAGTAGGCATACACAGCATAAAGTCATAAATATTGTGAAGAAAATACATTTAGTGTTCTGGAGTGCATTCGACCCACAGGGAGGGGGTGCATTTTGGGTCTGCGCCCGCCCCCGGCGTCATCAGCGCTGAATGTTGTGGACGGCCCCGCAGGCCTGAAAACGTACGTGGAGCAGGGTGACCTGTTGGCGGTTTTTGTTTTGCAAGAGTGAATTCTTGTTGCATTGCAGAAGTTTCACCCAGTCGCCGGTGCTTGTTCCTTGAAGGTTTCATGTCCTAAAGGTGTGAATGGAAAAGGTCTGAATTCCCTATGATATAAAGTCTAACGGTC